CCCTCCCGTGCTGCAGACGCTGCATGAACCTGTCAATACTCTGCAGGTTTCTGGGGGGTATGTGTCTCTGTGCTTCCCGAGATCCTCTGGGAAAAGTCTGCAGCCAGCGCTAATCAAATTGAACTGCTGTCAAGACTTCCTGCGAGCTTCGAGGAAACCTTTTGGAATATTAGAGGTACAGGAGAGGAGAGTAAAGGTTGGGGGAGGAAGGGAGGCAGGACAGTTTGGGAGCTTAAGTGGATTACATAGCTCCATAACCCAGTTATATGGGTCCGTGGACTCGAGTGAGCTGTTTCTTCCCCTCCTCTGGCTGTCTGCCTGTCAGATAGATCCCCTTTATTAGCCTCCCCCATCTGGCTCTCAGCATTCCTGATTTTCCAGTGCTCGCATCCCCGAGCAGCTCATCTCAGCCCTTCTTGTATCCCTAAGCTCCCCCAGGACCTTCCTTTAGCTGCACCAGCTGTCTGCACTGGTTGAAGTCTCTGCACCACCAGCATTTACCAAGCATGGTAGCAGATCTTTGATCTCAGCCAGTGCGAGCCCCAGGTAGCCAGGAAAGGGCTCATGGTTTAGCTTAGATCAGGGGACTTATGTATGAAAGTTAACCTCATCTCTGACTCTATTTTCAATAGCGAAGAGGGCTAGTTTAGAAACAGATGGGCAGCTGAGCACCAGCGTTGGGTGGTATGAAGAGCATCAAGTGCCTCGCGCATCTGGATGCACTAATATTGCCACAGCTTGGGTTGGGTGAGCGTGAGTTAACCATGAGCCTGGTTCTTCATTCTGAGCCCTGAGATTTCCCCTCAAAACCAAGGTGGGAGCCTGACATCTGCTGGGGACTGCACCACTGCTGCAGAGAGCACCAGGCCAGCATCCACCCATCCATCTTTCCTCACTGCTGTTCTGCCAGGAGCAAGGAGGCTGCTGCCTGAGGGACACTGCATGGAATGCAAGCAGCTTGTGAGGAGGCAACGTGGCCAAAGGGCAGGGTGGTCCAACTACAGCCTGGTAAGAGGTAAGGGCTGATATCCCAATTCACTCTGGAAGTCTCCAGTCCTTCAGGAGTGGGCCAGATACAAGACAGCAGCATGTGGGTCTAGGGATGGCAATGTCCATGGCTACACAGACCGTTTTGTCTCTCTTTGTAAGAGACAAAACTGCATTATCTGCACTGAAGCATGTTTGACAGCAAGCTGAAATCTGCTTTCCCTCATTCCTTTTGGGGTGTCTGCCACTGCCACCACCATGGTTTTGCTTTGTGGGGTAGCCTTAGGCTTGCTGAGTCTAATTCAGCCCTATGGGCTTTACAGCCAGAAATGCTGCAGGTAGACTCACCTGTGCAAGCAGGAAACAGAGTCACAGCTTGATGTCCACCACAGTGTGTCCCTTTGCCTCCTTTCTGTCCTCCTTCCCCCTCTTCTCCCTGCTGTTGTGCTGCATCTCTGAGACTTTTGTTGAGTCTTGCAGCAAAGAATGGTTTGCAGGGCTGACTGTGAGTTAGAAAATCATGTAAGAGTCGCTCAAGAGCATAACGAGTGATGGAGAGCAGAATCAAGTGCCCCTTGGTCTGATTAAATACTGACCTGATGCTTTAACACAGTGCTAGAGAGTGCTGTGCTGCTGTACCAGCCCTGGCTAGCAGTGCTGTAAAGGAGGGTGCTTGGCCACTGGTGGCCAGGCAGCACCCAGGGCATTGCTTTGTGCTGCTTTGGGGTCTGCAGACAGCTCATCCAGTCTCAGTATATGGATCTCTGGGTCACAAACCATTGGGTCCATTAAAAAGAGAGATCCTAAGGAGCATGCAGGCAGTATGGTAGCTTGGAAGTTTGTTGATAGCAGAGTTATCACCGTATCTTTGGGCTCTCAGCTAGCAACTAAATAATTGGAAGTGTTACTTTCTCCTAAAAGTTAGCCTGGCCTTTGTGCTGCTTAGTCACCGTTTGTATTTGTTGCTGCAGAAAGGAGCAGATAAAACACGGATTTGAGACCCTTGAGGAGACGAAGTTGGCAGCTCTCGTTGTAGCAAGGATCTTATGTTGTGTTTATTTAATGAAGGTTCCTATTTGACAGGAATGTGACTAGTCAAGGTTTTATTAATAGCTTTAGAGTGAGGTTTCAGAGCTCTTGGCTTTGGAGGCACACTAAGAATTTGATGCCAGTTTAACCTAATGATTCAGAAACCATAAAGCAGATAATAATAAGCTAACACATCTATTTTTAAACTCATGATTTAAGCCACTGTCATGATTTTGATGGGGCCTGATGTGATTTTCCAGCATTGGGACTGGTAATAAGGCTTTTGTGTTCTGATTTGAATGGAAAATCCTTTTAGAATCCTCCAGCTCGCTTGCCTTAGTCAATACTTAACAAGGACTCAGCCACAGCAGCAGGAATTATCCACCAGTCAGGACATTTTCCTTGCCCCTGTCTTTCCCTTCCTGCATAGAAAAAACCCTGACACACAAGGACAATGATCCATTGCTGTCCCAGGGCCCAGTTAGTGAAACTGGCACACAGGAATTCCTGTGCATGGAAATCTTGGAGCTGCCGACAGCCTCCCAGGAGTCCTAACACAGGAGCATCCCTGTGTCAAAGGAGTTTTCCGTGGGGCTGAGAGGACAGACTCAGGTCAGGTCAACACAGGCAGCTTGGGCTTGTGCTACAGGTATCCTGCATCCCTGTAAAGCTGTCCTGGGACTGAGCACAAGGTAAGATGAGTTTCAGAGATGCAGAGAGGGCCAAGTTGTGGCACAGAGGCTCCATAAAGTCTCCCTCAGTCCCTGTGTGGGCACATGGAATTGCTTGTCTAGTGGCTGTGTCCATGGAGGAGTGGGAGAAATCCAGCTGGTCGCTGCAGTATTTCATTTCTCCTCAGGCAAACATTTATGGGAAGCAGCAGCTGAAAGCAGGAAAGATGCAGCGCTGTTCCTGCTGTCCCCCAGCCTGCTGTGCCCTCACAGGTATTGAACTTGATGCGGAGCAACTGCTTTTTCTGCTCCTAGATGCAACCAAGTGAAAAGGATGTGGGGATCAACTGAAGGAGCAGCAGGCTCTGTGCAAGCCAGGTCCATCTCAGTGCTATTTTGAGGCACTCAGCTTTCCAGCCAGCCGGTATGCTGTTATTCCTCTAATACAAGGAAATAAACACATGAGGAATAGCTATGAAAAAAAACAGGTGACTCATAAGTGCGAAGAGCCTCATTCTGTCATTAGTGGGGGGTAATTTGCTACCTATTTCTATCAGTTACACATGTCCCTGCAAAGCTTCACTGCCCTTTGGGCTGGGTGTGTGGCCACAGCAGCCTGCAGCAGGGGAGCAGGAGAGGGTTTGCAGCCGGTCAGTGCTTAGCCATGATTTCTCCTTTTTGTCTGAAGAATGGAGGAGGGTGAATCCTGCTGCTTGGCCCTCAATCTGTCAGGAAGTGATTTGAGACTTTGAGTAGAGCTTGGCCTTTTCTTCCCCTTATTAAAAAGGAAGAAGGCGGTGTTTTATAGGTCTGTTACGGAAGCATGTATGCACTGATCTTTAAGGAATGATGTGAGTAGCCTTTTGGGCTCCTGTTAGACACAGAAATATCATCTGACAGCAGAAATATCACCCAAAATGAAATCTCAGCAAAAGAGTGAATTGTGAACAGCTTTGGATCAACTTAATAGGTGTGTTCACTCTGAGGACTAATGATAACACAAGTAATTGTTTCTATTGGGTTTGTGTGGCAAGGTTTCAATAGCGAGGGGTGCTACTGGGGAAGAAGACCCAATGCCAGACGTCTCCAAGATGGACCTGTTGCTGGTCAGGGCCCAACCCATCAGCAATGGTGGCAGTGCCTCAGAGATAACATTTAGGAAGGGGGAAAAAACTGTCAGGAGAGAGGAGTGAGAATATGTGAGTGGAGCAGCTCTGCAGACAGCCAGGTCAGTGCAGAAGGAGGGCAGGAGGTGCTCCAGGCACTGAAGCAGAGATTCCTTTGCAGCACATGGTGAGGCAGGCTGTGCCCCTGCAAGTCAAAGTGTGATGGACCAGCCACAACCTTCATTCTCCAATTCCCTGTGTTGCTCGGAAGGGTGAGGAGAAAGCGGAATTGCAAGTGAAGATGAGCCTGGGAAGGAGGGAGGGGTGGGCAGAAGGTGTTTTAAGAGTAAGTTTTATTTCTCATTATCCTACTCTGATTTGATTGGTAAGAAATGAAACCAATTCCCCAAGTCCAGTCTGTTTTGCCCATGATGGTAACTGGTGAATGAGCTCTCCCTGCCCTTATTGCAACCCATGAGCCTTTTGTCGCACTGAGGAGGAGGAGTGACAGTGTGGCTTTAGTGGGCTCTTCCTGCCCAGCCAGGGTACACTCACCATACTCTTCAATAAAGGAAGTCTTCCTTATCTAGAAAGTAACTCCTACCTCTGCCCTGCTGAAGGAAAAGTGGTTTGTGAAGAAATACAATCTCCTTAAGTGACTTAGGAGCCTCAGATCCATTTTTAATATCTGCTTAACCATTTACTTAGAAAAGTCTCATCATAAGGATCTTTTTTCTTGTCTTTTTGAGGCACAGATTTGGGTGTGGGCCATTTTAAATCAGAACTGAAACCAGGTATCTGCACTCACCTGGAAAGCACCAACTCTGCTGCCAATGGCATGCACACCATCTAGTAATGAAGAACTGAATGAATCACTGCAAAAAAGCTGGATGGGGAAGGACTGTAAACCTCTATACCAAGCTGGAAGTGAGCCCTTCTCTTTCTGGAGACAGGAGAGCCAGGAATACGTTGGAACACCATGGCATTTCTTGTTCAGAAGAAATATCCCATTATTTCAGGCAAAAGCAGTTGGCAACTTTCCACTCAGCTTGGTTTGGCTGCTGGCACTGAGGAAACACACATAGAAATGGTGTGGAAGATGGGAAGCCCTGGCCACCTCCACCTTGCTTCTTCCTATAGCTTGTTTTGGGGAAAGCAGGCTGCAGCCTTTCAAGGACCTCAAAGATCTGCTTCTGATCTGCTTTAGGTACCAACTGTGAGCACAACTGCTCCCTGCTCATCCGTTTTCAAAGTGCCCAGTGAAAAAGGAGTCTTCCTGCTTGCAGGTGAGTGTTTGCTACTGGTCTTTACAACCAGTGCTCTGATCCACGGCTATAGATTTGTCACTGCCCTGTTAATATAGTTACTACAGTGTAAAAATACCTCAAAAGACTAGCTCACACAAATTGCAATAGCTCCAGGCAAGAGAGATGCCAGCAGGGAGCCGCATTACAACTCGGCTTGAAAGAGCTCAAAGGTAAAGGTGGGTTCAGTAGCGACAAACAGGAAGCAACAAGCACCTCGCTCTGCCTTGTACTGCCTGAAAACTAATGTTTTCATGCACAGACACACACAAAAGAGCCTTTTTAGTGGAGCAGGTTTGTTTGGGCCTGTTAGGTGGTGGTCAGTGGTCAAGGGATCAATGGCTATAGCATCAACAGGGTACACTGAAACTCAGGAAGGTAGGATGGTAACACCAGGGGTGCCAGGATCAAACCCCCTGGTCCTGTGGAAGGCAGCATGCCACATCCTGGGCTATGCTTGTCCCATGGCTCAGGACAGAGTGAGAGACCTGGCACGTCCCAGTCATCAAGGACCCACCAACACATCTGGCTTAGACACATCTGGATTGGATGGTTTCTCCTTTCCAGGAGGTGGTAGTGATTGAAGGATGCAGGTTGCTCTTCAGCAGGCTTTGTGTACAGATATCTGTCCTGAACACAGGTCAGAGGAATGTGGGCACATGCAGGCATTCCTACCAGCCTTAACGACCTGGTAGGAGACCCCATACACCTGCACAGCCCTTGTCAAGTAAAACACCTCCTCTGCCCTGTAGGTGACCCATCCTGATGCAAGCACATTTTCCAACATATACCAATGGTATAAAGGTGTCATGTGGGTAGTTTGTGTGGAGGGTAGGGCAGAAACTGAGCACTGAGAAAGAAAGGCAGATGAGAAGACACAGTACCGAGAGGTGCTTAACACCTTGCACAGGCTAAGAAACCTAAGATTCCCATTTGTTTTCTGTTGGAGCTGTGTTGCCAGCATCTCAGATGGTCTTACAGCAGGACAGGGTGAGAATCACTTTGGACGTGGTATGGAAGAGAACTGCAACATGGACATCTCGTGGATGCTTCCTTTCCTCCTCTGCAGTCCAGAGCCTGTGCTCCCCACACCTAACTCCCCCCAGGGAAACACAATGGTGCTAAAAGCTCTGCGTGCGTTGCCTGCATGAGCCTGAATCTCCAGCCAGTGCAGCAGTGACACCCACCTCGCCGTGCAAAACGCAGAGCCATTCTCTGCACGTACCCGTGTGTCTGCCTTCATGGCACAGCTCTCACAGACGAGGTCTGGTCCTCCACACCATCAGCCTGCTGCGGTCTCGGCACTCCTTCCGAGGGCAGGACCCGGGGCACCCGCCTTTAAACGGCGCTGACATCGTGACCGGGGAGACAGCGCCCGGTCCCTCTGCACGGGGAAAGGAGCAGTTGCAGGCTCTGCAGTGTCTGCCTAGCGCACATACTGGTAATAGCACCGTGCAGGGGTCTCGGTGTGATCTTCCTGTTGCTCATTTGATGGCAAGTGTGAAACGCAAATCCCCCCGGGCTTCTGTCTCCGCTCAATATTCACAGCAGCATGAAGGCTCCTGCGCGGAGAGGGGGGTAAGAGCCTGCAGACAGCGGGGAGCTTTGCCTCCTTTGTCTGGAGTTTACAGGTTACAAAAACCTCCTTATTCGAGGGGCTCACCGCAGCCACCCCGACCCCTGCCTCCGCCTCAGCTTGGCGTGGGGTACCACACTCGGGCTGTGGCTCCATCGAAGGTGGTGATGGGGCAGGGAGCACGGGGTCTGCGGCAGGCACCCCGAGGTGAGTTTGGCTCGCTTGGAAGGTGGGTGCATTGCCCCCCATCCGTGTCCCTGCCCCTTTTCCCTTGGTGTGTGATGGTTCCAGCCCGAACCCCCGTCAAGCTCTCTGGAAATGGCGAGTGAGACACTTGTTGCCATGGTGATGCTTAATCGTTCTGACTCAGAGGCAGCGTTGCTGTGGCAACCCTGCCCGCAGCCCTCGGGAGGCAGCGCCGGCGCGGCTCGCCCCCCGCAGCCGAGAAAGGGCTCCGAACACCAGCTCCGCTCGCTCCCTGCTGCAGTGCAGCGCAGAAAGCTTCCGGGATGCTTTATCCCCCTCTTAACGTCCCCATCTTCACCGAAGGATCTGTTATTCTGCAGGGTACAAGTGCTCTGGGCCACCTCATCGCATCATCCGCATCCTCAGGTGATCCCAGCATCCGCCTGTCAGTGGCATTGACAATAAAGTATGTTTTTCAAAAGGAGCAGTATTATTTCTCCCTAGTAGGAGCAAGCTCCTTTCCCCTCGGGAGCTCAAGGCCGGATCCAGCTGGGGTGGGGTATGAGTGGGATAGTTTTAAGATGTGTCTGTGCCTGTGAAAGCAGAGACAAAGGGAGAGCGCATGTGAGGGAGTGGGTGTGCCCGTGAGAAAAAGAGGGATCTGTGCGCGAACAGTGTGTCCGTGGGCACGGCCACGGCTGTGAATGGGAAAGGGAATGCCAGGAGAGGAGATGCCAAGCGGAGTGTGGGATGCTGCAGAAGGAAGAGGGGGCACGCTTGCTGGCGGATGCACAGGCACGGGGAGAACAGGCTCGCGTCATGCGGACCTTCCTGAAGATGCTCACATTCAGTCCACTCTCTCACCTTTGGCTGGTGCAAAGACAACCCTCGATACATGAAATGCTTGGAAGCACTTGAGCCCCTCTGCAGCTGATAAGCTCAGGGATGGGGGGGGGGGGGTGTTGGATTTCAAGCTTGCTGTTTTAAATCAAGCAGGAAAGTTTCACAGCACTAAATCATCCAGCCAAAACCATTTCATCCTTCTCAGGCAGAGGCAGGTGGGAATGAAGGGGCATATAAATTCTCCATGTGGGCACCCCTGGACCTACATCCCAGCCAAACCCGCTGTCCTGAGAGCATGGTTCCCAAGGGAAGTGGTCAGTGCTTTTTCTGGAGTCAAATGCCTGACTGCTCATCCAGGCAGGAGGAATCATTGGAGAGATGCTTAAAGCTGCCCAGATTTCCCAGGAGTTTCATCAACTTTCCCTGTGGTATTTCCAGCTTGCCAGAGAAATCATACCAGCCTCTTTCCTGCCTGACATCCTGGTTCTTCTAGCACTGGTAGGGCATGGTGGGACGTTCTGGAGCAGACAAACTGGGATGACTGGAAGGATGGGAAAAATGAGGAAGTCACCAGGTGGAAGATAGTTTCACTGCTCATAACATCTTGGTGGGGTTGGGAAAGATGTGAAAGTGGCAGATGCAAAGAATAAAGGATTGTGCTGAAGAAATCAACCACATTCCACGGAGGGAGAAGGTCCAGGGTGGTTCCTGTGTGTCTGGCTCAGATGATGTGAGCACAAAAGCCTTATTAGCAAGGGTAAGTAATGCAAGTACTGGAGATGTTGGCATGGAGCCTGATGAAGACAGCTGTAGAGAGGTGTTGGGGGGGCTTACATGAGAATGAAGACCATGGAGAGGTCCAGGATGGAGAAAAGTATTTCAGAGTCCCTGAAGTGGGGCTATGTGTGCACATGAAGATCCCCTGCAGATTAGGCTAAAAGGGAAGACAAGGGCAGGATTAAGGCATGAGCTGTGAGGGCTACAGCAGACAGAGGCTCTCAGGACCTGAATGAACCTGAGGTAGCATCAAGGTTTCAGGGAGAGGAAGCTTGGGAAATAGCCAGTGCAGGGTTTCTGGATGAGCAGTTCATGAAGCTGGAAGGTGATAAAAGCCAGATGGAGGGTCTCCAGGAGCAAGTCTAAGGCTGTTCAGAAGTTAATACAGCCTGTCCAAGGAGCTTAGGAAGGTGAGGAGAGTGGGAACGTAATTGAAGAGATTCAGTCAAAGGAAACTTTTAAACATGTACAATGACTTGCTTGGTATGCAGAGAGAAACTCATCCCTAGTGTAAGCTTAATGAAATCAGTAGCTTTGGCTTTAGCTTTGTCTGTTAATTCCACATGACGGAGGCCGAATGAGGGGAGCTGTTTGTTTTGCACAAAGCGATGCTATCAAAAGTCTCTGAATTCTCTTTTACCCATCAGAAATTATAACCTAAATGGTCTATTTTTCTCTTCCTTCCCCTCACCCTTCTGCCTGCCCCCTTAGGAGAAAGCTCTCTCTGCCCATCATTGGGGTGTCACATATGGGCCCTTGTCACATGTAATGGGCAGAGCAGTACCTGTGCGTGCTATCACTGCACATGTACCTGCTACAGAGATGGGCCCCTGGGTGGTAGCTTGCCTTCATCTCACAACCATCCCCAAGGCGCAAACTGGATCTGGATTTGGGTTCTTCACCCTGCTGTGAAATCACAGGTCCCTCCTTCCCTGGTTCTTCCTGTGCTGGTTCTTAAATGACCATGCTCTGTGTAGAGTATTTTGACTATGACACCTCCTGGCATCAAAGGGAGGGGAGGACCACACCAGTGGCAGCAAAGGCTATTGGAAGAGTCCCTTGGATCTAAGACTAAATGAAGCCTAGGACTATATATTGTAACATTTAATCTCTATTTTGGCATGATCAGTTGCAGAATTTGATGGATGTGATTTCTTGCCTGAGACCTGTAATAAAAGTAGGGCTGAATTATTGTGGTTTTTTTTTTTTACAGAAAATGAGGGGAACTAGGGAATGCAACCCAATTTATTTAGTGTTTATTCATCCAGCAGGATCTGCTACTCTCTGCTGTCTTCGCTCATACCTAAACAAAGTGAGGAAGCCTCTACGAGAACATTGGTGGCAATAAGTACTTTCTTCCCTTGTTTGTCTTTGGGACAGCTCAGTCTCTCACACGGAGCAGCAATGTTATTAAAGAAGATTCAGTATAAAGCATGAAAAACCCAAGATAATAATTGTTGAACCATTACACTGAGGAGTTCCAGCAAGATTATTTCAAAGAGAAAATGATGCTTGTGCAGGGAGGGTGTCTGGGGACTGGCTGGGAAAGAGGGAAGAATAGGCTTAAATACTGCAGCCGCCTTCCTTGTTGTTTCTTACCTATTAGATAAGATGTTGTATGGCTGTGCAGGTTCAGCCTGACCTGAGCTGCGCACCTTCTACCAGGGTTTGAAACTGTCAGCTAGGAAACACGGCCTGTGATGGTTGGGGCATTGCAGGCATATGTGTGCTGGGTAAGTGGAAGGCAGGAGGGGTTGTAGGGCAAGAGGGAATGGAGCAAGGGGTGTAAAGAAGAAGAGAGGGTGGTCTTGTGGCTTGGATGCTAACTTGGGTCTTGGGGTGGTACCCGCTTGCTCTTGTTGATGAAGACTTTGTTTAACAGAACCCCTGTTTTGTTTAACAGAATAAATATTGTGAATATAAGTATTTGCAATAAATATCCCTTGAGCAAAAGGAAAGAAAGCACAAGCAGGCAGAAGCCTTGCTACCTCCTTTTCCACACACATTTGGGCTTCCTCACTTTGAGGAATCCCACTGTAGTGGGAGGTCAAAGCACAGGAGCCATGAAGGCTTTGTTATTTTTCCTTCCTGTGCTTCTTAAGCGGTGATGCCCATGAGATTAGTGTTTACCTTGATTTAATGTTTCATCAGGAGCATGACATCCCCAGCAGCCCTACTAAATGAAGCATGCCCTGTTTCCTCAGCTGGGACTTAAACCTCTGCCCTTAGAGACCTGCGGGGTGGGGAAGAAGGATGGGGAGAGAAGGATAGATATTGACCCACCTAGCATGTACGCTAAATTAAATAAGCAGGCCTTATTTTTTAACCTATTTAAAGCAGTTACAGTGCTCTGCACAATTGATGTTTGCCTTTGCGGGGGTTACTGAGGTGGCAGATGCCTGTTCTGCTGCCCTGCTTTGTCCCTCACGTTCCATGGGTGACCTTCATGTGTAAGGACAGCCATGCTCTTAAGGAAGGAGGAGAGACACACACACAGAGAAAGCATTTTCTCTGCCAGTTGACTGAATCCAGGCCTTTGCTTTAAACTGTGCTGGAAAGGCCCCGTTCTCCTCTCATGGTGAGGAAATGGATGCTCACAGGGAGATGAGCAGGTGAAACCCTCCAAAGCCCCTTTGCTAAGGATGTCAAACTGAATTTGAATCGCATCCACTCTGAAACCACAACTGACCATGGGAGAGTGACACTGATTTTAGTGCTGCCTTACGGCAAGCAGCAATATGGCTCAGTGGCTGCCTAGCTTGATGAGTGATTTTCCTGTGTACGTTTTTCTTTCTCCTGTTCTCCTCAGCATATCTGCCCCATACTGAGCCCGTAAGAAATATCACTCATTATAAAACCCCTCCTTTGAGGGCCTGATGTGACAACCCTTTGAACTCCTGTGCTGGGAGAGCAGGACACAGAATTACAGGCAGTTAAATTGCCTCATTAAGAGAATATTATGAGGTCCTGTTCCGTCTTTTTCTGTCAAGCACTGCTGAATGCTTCATCCAAGCCAGTTCTATGTCACAGGATCTCCCCCCTGTTTTCCCTGAGGGATTTGCCTTTACTCTTCCTTTTATCTGTGTCTCCACAAGGGCTGGATCTGGCTGTGATGTAGAGAGGGTGCAGCATCTCCATTTCCCTGCCACGGGATACCCAAGAAGGGCCATCTGTGGAGGGCACCCTTCTTTCTGCATCAGAGCCTGTGGTACCTGCACATCCCAGGAAACGTCTTTGCAGCTGAAACTGCTGGTGTTTTGTTTGAAATCCCACAAAGGTGCGTACCCCACTCCCCACAAGGTGCATAGTTTGGTTTAGCACCGTGTGGTCCCTGTAATCCCACTCCTTTCTCCTCTGCTGCAGGGATTTACCCCACTGAGATCTCTCAGGCTGTAGATTTCCTGACCTGATGATTGCACGTTTGTGCTTTGCCGAGTCCCAGCTATGTGGATGCACCAGGCACAGCGTGCTAACACTTTGCTCATATTCTGGTATCTTCTCTCGTTTCCTGATAATCTTTTCTTTCACAGTTCAGAGCTACCCCTGCAGTTTCAAGAGCCTTTGCCTGTCTTTCTATGACTCTGGCTTCTTCCTTAGCACTCACTTCTGGCTTTCTGGCAGTGCCATACACGCACCTTGCTGGTCCATGCACTGCTGTGTCCTGTGCCATCTTCTGTGTGACAGTTTGCCTTTTGACGTTACCTTAACCTGTAGCAGAGCAGCTCACCCCAGACCAGGAATCTGTGTGCGTCTGTGTGTGTCTGGCCACTTTCTAATTAGGAAGACCTTAATTTACAAGCTCCCATGCTACCTGCAATGTGCCCTGCAGTACCGTTCATCATCTCTGCTGTGGCCAGCATCTTTGGTGCTTGTCCTCACCAAGGAAGCTGTGCTGGTGGGAAAGGTGTTGGGGTAGGAGACATGAGGTAACATGGGGTTTTCATTTCCCCCACAGCACATTAAAACTGTACTGCCTGGATTCAGCTCTGCTGCTTCCCTCCAGTCAAAGACCCACATTCAACCCCTGGTCAGCCTGAAAAACCATGCTTTAGTGCTGTGCGCTGAAACACAGGCAGGATAAGAATCAGATCTTCAGCCAGGGTAAATTGCTTCAGCTTCAGTGATGTCAGTAAAGCTAATCCATTTTCTTCCAGCTGAGATTCGGGGAGCATGGATTAACTATACTGCCTGATTACAAATCCAGGCATAATGAAGGATGTGGCTTCACTGACCCCCTTGTTCTGCAAGGTCTCGAGCTTCTCCTCCCTGTGGTGGGGCTTAGTGGCTCCTGTCCCCTGCCTTCCTATCCTGCGTAAGAGAACAACCCGGCTGCTCATTCACTGCAGGGACGAGTGACGTGAGGGGAAAGGATGTGCTGTTCCTACACTGAGGCACACAGCAAGGCAGCCCGGGTCCGTAGGGACTCTGTGATTGATGCGGCAGGGAGGGAGTGACAAGCCTGCTGATGCTCTAGCAGCGTTTTACACCAGCAGTTCCTGCCAAAGAGAATAAAACACCTGTGACAAAAACTAAACCCGCTCACTCGCTCAGGGCAGAGACAGCCAGGACCCGGGGGTGTCACCCTATGTGAGTTATGAAGCCCTGCCTTCCTCTGGGAAGAGGAGTGTGATATCTCTGCTGACAGGTCAAGCGCAGGGTGCTCGGTGCTCTGGTTTAAAGCAGCATTGGCTTGGCCTGTGTCTGAAGGTCTGCCACCCCGTGATTTGTAATTCAGTCTTAACTGCAGGTTAGGAGATGAGGGGTCAGCATGTGTATATGTTCTGCATATACATAAATACAGCATGAAGGAGCAGCGATTGGGGTTTTCCACAGGAAATTCTAGTTTTTCCTGTCACTCTTCTCAAAAAAAAAAACATTTTACTTGGGCTGGGGAGGGGATCACACTGGATTTTGGTAGAAGGCTGTGAAAACTGGAGGAAAGCTAGTCCATTTGCCTAGCTGTAGGAGGAATATAAATGTCTGATACCTAATTGTGATGTACATCATCTTTCTCCAGCACCAGCACACACCATTAGGGCTCACGGGGTGAGGGAACAGGGTCTTCTTTTTCCACACCTAGCTGCTGGACCATACTCTTTCCTGTCATCACCTTTTCTGGGTTCTTCTGAGTTTTCCTTACCATTCCCATGGTTAAACATCTTCTCCTGAGCAGTGAGACAGCAATACCTCTTCTCCCATCTTTGGCACAGTCTTACCTTTATCTTCTGATATCTTTTTTCCCCATTACTGCCTGTGGCAGCACAGGGCTTTGGGTAGCTGGGTTATGAAACACATGAAAGCATCTGTGGTGTTTTAAAAGCAGAGCTTATATTTTGGCAGGTTATATTTAAGCCAAAGCACTGTGCCCTGGTTCACAACATGATGATGGTGCAAGGGCAAGAGCCAACTGTGTGAAAGCAATACATGATGTTCTCATTGCTGCTGAATACTTTGTCACATGAGGGCTGAGTGACAAAACGGTTCCTTTTCCTCCTTCTCTGTGTGTTAGTGCAAAGTGCGATAAGCGGTGACTAAGCCCTTTGTTTGGGAGTGGAAACAATGGGGGTTCAAACTCCTCCTGTACTGGAGGCTGATGCTTTGTCTGTGCCGAGAGGATGCAGTGGCTGCTGGGGAAGGATGGTGCTGGCTGCTCTTCCTGGGACACTTCAGCGCATCCACGCGCCCTGTCCCATTTATGAGATGAGCTTGCCCATAAAAACTGGAAGTGTCCCACTCATCTCTCTATAGACACGGTCTTTTTCCCTGCCTTAGTCTCATTCCAAATGGAATGCAAATTCACTGATCATTTTGGCCTCCCAGAAAGTGCATCTCACAGGAAAGAAATGATTCAGCAAAATTATTGGATATAAGGAAGAAGTTTTTTACTGTACGGGTGGTGAGGCACTGGAATGGGTTGCCCAAGGAAGTTGTGAATGCTCCATCTCTAGTGGTGTTCAAGGCCAGGTTGGACAGAGCCTTGGTTAGTGTGAGGTGTCCCTGCCCATGGCAGGGGAGTTGGAACTGGATGACCTTAAGGTCCTTTCCAACCCAAACTATTCTATGATTCTATTATTCTAAAACCAGAGGAAAAAACCTCAGCTGCCTCCTTGCTGTCACATTTGCTTTACTCAGCTCCTGATGTATCAATAGCCAATTCTTGCTGTGACAAGCTCAGACATAACACAGAAGCTACCTTAGGAGTCTCGAGGTAATTTTCTTTGGGTTTTCCCCAGTCAGAAGTTTTCCCAAAGTCGGAAGAAGGATTCTTGCCTATCTCACTGGGCTACACATTCACCTCCTTGCTTATTAAGACACTGCCAAAACCTCTTGTATGATCTTGCCATTGGTTGGGCTGAAGACGTAGTTGAGGCATCTTCCCATTGATATATACATAATCTATACATTTCTTGCTCTGCAAACAGGAATGGTGGGCCCTAGAGAAAATCACTCAGCCCTAATTGCTCCAGTGACCTTTCCCTTGCTGTCCACTGACTATCTCTGTGTCCGGTCTGGCTTCAAACACTGCAAGCGGAGGGGCTTCCATCACTTTCTGTGGAAATTATTCCACTGCCTAACAAATCCTAGTCTCTCCCAGGTTACACTGAAGTGGTATTTTCATTAATTTCATGTCAATGCATTCGCTTATGACCATCTGCTTGCTGTCCTTTAATACGCTAAACCGTTGCATTGTTTGTGTTTCCATCTTCGAGGATTGTTTAAGCCCTTAATCCTCTCCTGAAATTATCACTTGATTAAATTACAGAGAATGACTTTCCCCTTAATTTTTCTCTCTTTTCTTCATCATCTTTGTTGTCCTTTGATGAGTTTCCCTTTAACGCTGTCAATCTCTCCCTGGCTTTCAGCATCCAAAGTACAATGCAGTGTTTAAAGTACAATACAATACTCTAGTTGTGCCAGAAAACTGTACAGGGATATAATTGCTTCCCCAGATCAAGCAGACACAAATCCACAAGCTCTGCCTTTTGTCCTACCTGCTTTCTGTACTTTGTCACCTCTTCCTCTTACAATATGAACTATTTGTCCCCATCTAATAAGACTTGTTCTGTAAATACCATACTGCCACAAAAAGGAGCAGATATCAGCTATCATATCAGGCTCTAAAAGA